TATATATATATATATATATATATATATGTATATAAATATGTAAATTCATGTAAATAATTATAAATACAATCAGTTGGACGAGCGACATCTTCTCGAACGACGCCCCTTATTTTCTCATCTCACTTTCTCTCTCTATTTCCGTCGGCTTTCCTGCATAGCACGTGGGTGCAATTCACCGCTCTTAACGCGCGGACCCACCTCACTTAACGACACAGATTAAGATTTATAATCCAAGTGATTAAACCGGTTAAACACTCAATACCCAACACGTGGCGCCACCAACGTCACGGTGGGCCCCACAATGTCGGGTCGCCATCTGCCTATTTAACAACCCCCGTTACCCTTTTTCCCTCAATTCGACCGCCGGCCCAAGTTCCCTTCTTTAATCAAGCGCTCATGGCCGCCGCCGGGATTCCGCTCAACATATCCGCCGTTACGAACAACCACCGCCGGCGTAAGGATACCAGACCGAAGAAGGGCTTAAGGAGGCGGTGCGCCGCGATGTTGAAGCAGCAGAAGACGAGGTTCTATATTCTCGGACGCTGCGTCTCCATGCTTCTATGTTGGCACGCTCACAATATATCGGATTGAGATGATCGCGGTCCTGGGAATCAATGGCTGCCGCCGGCTGCGGCGGCGGCGCTGTTTGGCTCGGTGCTCTGTGAGATGCGGGAAAGGGGAAAGTCGGATGAAGGAAAGAACGAGAGAAGGGGCCGTGCCGGACCGGGTGAGCCTTTCTGGGCTTATTATTTGGGCTGGAGCCATACTAGTCTGTTGGTATGAGAGAAAATATTACGTGCGGACATGATGAGTTCAGCTTAGATGCAAATTAATAGTATTTTAGTAGTGTAGTGGTGATATCATATCATAATACTACCACAATATTATGAAGATATTAGCAAATCATTACATACAATAATATTGTGGTCCTATTTGTTCACAATATCACTAAAATATCATCAATTTATATTTACGGTGTCCTGATGTAATATTTTCTCAATGTACCAAGGTAGTTCTCTGAGTACAAGAAGTTTTGAAGGCTTTGATTTTTGCAATTCCAATCCTATTGTGATGTTTGAGTGCAAAAATGATATTATTTATATAAAAATGATATTTATATTTGAGGAAAATCGTGGCTTAAAAGAGTTAAGGTGCGACATAAACATTTTGTGGGCTCTCAATTATTAAGAAAGTTACATTTATGTTGATATGCTAATAATGTCTTTAATGTTTCTTGCCTTACATGCAAAGCAACTTGCCATTAAATACTAAATCGTGAGCAGGGTTTACTATTCTTTTATTCGTTAGCTAGTCATGAATTAGGAGTAATGCAAAGCTTTCCATTTGCAGTGTTTTTAAGAATTTAGATATTTGGTCTCCTGAATTTCTTTTTCCCTGTAAAATATGAAAGAATTTAGAAATCATTTCTTGGTCGTCCATTTTCTTTGTTATCGAAATTCAACGAGTTTACGCGAATATAAATACATTGTCCTATCTAAATTGTCGTCGCCGTCTGTCGATACTGACAACCACCTATAATTTGTCTAATATCACCACAAGTCATTTTGAAGCAATGAAAACTCATTATGAACTTGTTGGTGAACCCACCATTTAGATTAATTGGATTGAATGCAAGCTTACTTCAGTTTCCAATGGATAAAATCAATTTTGGGGAAGGCATATTTCATGTAAAGAGGATCAAATAAGGATGTCAATGGGTGGTCTATTCTATAATATCTGAATTTTAGTGAATTTAAGAAAAAACTTGTTTGACAGAAAACAATTAAAATATTGAATGGGACGAAAGAAAGTCCTAAATCATGTTCATTAAATAGGGTTGATATGAGAAGTTAAAAGAGTCGAGTTTGTCAGATTTTGGGTGGACTCATTCCTTAATTTGGTGGATGGAAAGTTCAAAGAAAAATAGACAATTAATATGAGTTTGTATAAGGTATAAGCACACTATTGATGAAAAATATCATAAGTTAATATTAGAGATGAAGAGATGAATCATCGAAGAAGGAGAATGGGGTTATGGGAATGTAATTTAATCAAATTAGCTGTCAATCAGAATTGGCTCAACACGAGGGGTGAGAAAAAAAATGTAATAGTGAAGATTTACGTATTTACCTTTTAATTCTTTTCTTTTTTATAAATCCAACACCTAAATTTTATTTTTTTACATAAATGTCAACTTCTCTTTGCTTGAAAAAATATGTTTAATTTCTTAAAAGTTAATAGTGATATTTTCTTATGAGATATGAAAATACATAGGAATTACGTGATTGTCTGTAGGGTTGTAATCAAGTCGAGTATATCATAGTTCGGACTTGGCTTTATATAATTATAAGTTGTTCATGTTCGGCTTGAGTCTATGTCGAGCTTTCATATACTTTTTAAGGTTGATTTGTTTAAATTTTTTAATATTTGGAAATGATTTGTTTATGACAAGTGAATGGGTATTTAAACGAGCTAATGAACCGGCTAAAAATTCAAACAAAGATCTAGATTTTCATACAAAAATTCATTAAATAATTTTACAGATTTAATTGCAACTATTAATTCATATATTATAAACTTTAAACCCTATAGTATCTAAATGGAGTTTCTCCCCAATTTTGCCCAGAATCCCTAGCTGAAGGAAAATTTAATAGAATGGTTTGTGTAGCGTGATTTAATATAAATCCTACCAAACAACTAAAAATGACAACTTTAAAATATATAGAAACTTAATATCAAGTATTTATATATCATATATGATATGAGCAATCAACAAACAAGTTAATTTTCTAATTAATTATTTTTAAAATAATATATGATACAGCAATCATTAAGCTCAATATCAGTATTCAACGAGTTATTTGTTAACAACAAACAAGTTTGTTCGTGAACATATATGAATAAGTTCGATTATGTTTGTGTTGTTAAATATACAAAGCTTGTAAATTAACTACCTCACATACTGCGTCTCACCTGCCTCTCTCCCACATGTCTCTCTCCACCTACCTCTCTCCCGTTTTTGTTAAATAACATCTTCTGGCAGTGCTAAGCCAACTCCTCTTGAGAGCTAAGAGAGAGAAAGGAAGAGAGAATGAGAAAGAAAGTTTGCTTGTAAACGTCGAGACGTTCGACGGTGTAATTTCTCAAAGTACTGAAATATTCTGCAGCTCTGTGGACGTAAGTAAATTAGCCGAATCACGTAAATTTGTTTGTTATCTTCTAGTTTGCAATTTTTCGATCCTGTTTTTTCACTTTATTGCCGTGTTTTTTTCATAGCACATATTTTAGTTCATTTAAGTTTCGAACTATTAAAAATTGTTCAAACTTGTTTATTTACTAATTAATCTAAACCAATTCAGTTGAGTCTTAATCTAGCCAAATTTGAGCTGTTCAACGAGAGCATTGGTTCATTTGCAGCCATGGTTTCATGTAACTGCCCCATCTAATAAACTGAGTTAATCATTTGGGTCAGCATTGAATAGACTATATAATTAATATATATATTTTTATATTTTCATCCAAACTCGACTTTTATGTTTTTTCTTTTCTGGAACACATTTTCTACCTTCATAAAACCTTCTAGAATAAAGCAGCAGCCCACGATAAGAATTCAGCGCACAAATGTGGCTCTCTCACGGCACCAACAGCAACTTCCACGAGCACATCTTTTTGGTCCCCTATTTATAATTATTTAAAGAAAAATTTTAAACCTAATTTAAATTTAAGTTTTAATTATAATATATATATAATTTTCTGAAGGTGATAATATTGCTCTTGTGAATTATTTGATTTATGTGGATTAAATAAAATTAATTTATTTTCATTGATTGATTTGGTGTGATTTACTTTTAATGATAAGATGAATTAAAATTAATATTACTTTTAAATGGTCTATTTTAAATAGAAGACATCGGCATCAATATTTATCTGTTCTTTGCTTTTAATGAGCAGATTTAGGCTTTATCAGGCTGATTTAGCATGATTTATGCCTTCTTGTTAGAATTATTTTAATTTTAATTAAAAAGTATGTAAATTTTTTTTATTTTTTTAAATGAATTAATTTAAATAAAAAGTACATTAAATGACTTAAATTAAGTAAAATTTTTAATTAATATACACGAATTTTTTTGCGGCTCTTGATAGCCAAAAAAATCTGAGAAGGCTGTATTTGGGCTTTCAGTGACGCGATGGACATAATGGCCTGAAGTCCAATAAGACAATTAGTCTTAACAAAAAAAAAGTTGGGTGAGATAGTTCTCATGGGCTTTGAAATTATGAGCCATAAGTCCACTATACGTATCATAGCCTTTTTATCTCTATATATATATCAAGGCAGGGCCTGCTGGTGTAACAGGGTTGTTTTCTCCTTTATTTATCTATTTATTGTCTTTTTCTCCTTCATTTTATTTATTTATTAATGGATGAATCATCTTTATCCGACACTCAATCGTCCATTTTACGCACCCAAACCCTCGTTATACCTCCCTCATGTTCCTAGACTCTGAACTCAAACAATTCTCTCATAGCTTCCTCACACCTGAAACGTATCATGTGTGGAGAGCACACATTCTCAAACTCTACTCGGCATAAGGATTTGATGGATTTTTCATTCGAACAAACCAATGCCCCCATCCTATACTTTCTGAAAACAGGCCAACCGGCACGGTGTTACCTCAGTTCCAACTATGGAACCTTATTGATCAAGACCCGACAGCCTCTCTTCATTCCACAATCTATCTAACAGTTCTTCCACATTTTCGTCATCTGCAAACCACAAAAGAAATTTGAGCAACATTGAAGCGTTGCTTGCAACCTACAAGCCGGTTTCGAGCAATTCAATTGAAAAATGAAATACAAAACATCTCGATGAAGGATCACACCATAGCAGAATACTTAATGGTGATTAGATCGCTTGTGGATCACATAGCTGTTGCAAGTTCTCAGTTAGATGCTGAAGAGGTTATCCTCTACATCCTCAATGGCATGCCACCATCCTACAATGCTTTTAAAATAGTTTTTCACACATCTCTTCAGCTGATTGCACTTGATAATCTCTATTCTTTTCTCTGTAGTGAGGAGGTAAATATTAACAATGACATCTCTATGCATCAACCACAAACCGAGTCACCCATAGCACTTGCAGCATCAAGAGGATGCCAGTTCACTAGATCAAAGGGCAGAGGAAGAATGACTCAATCAAATCAAAGAGGAGGTCATGGTGGGGAAGCAAGTGGGGGAAGAACTACTCCTAAATCCAACATCACTTGCCAAATCTGTCATAAGACGGGGCACTCGTCAGCTAGTTGCTGACATCGAGCAAATCTCGAGTATACTCCCACTCTCTCAGCTCAAGTACTTCATGCTACCTCCAAGGATTGGGTACTGGACTCATGCGCCTTGGCACATTTTACTGTTGATCTCAGTCAAATTCAACAAGCTCAACAATATACTGGACTTGGGCAAGTGGTGGTAGGGAATGGTTAGACACTTTCAGATCATCACAAAGGCGATGGTATCTCTCTACTCCCCAACTTAAGCTCACACTTTCACAAATCCATCATTCTCCATCACTTTCACATAACCTCTTATCTATTCATAAACTAATAAAAAATAACAATGTCATTGTCTCATTTGACTCTTTTGGAATTACCATATATGACCCACAGAAGCACCAGACGCTCCTCAAGGATCCCTCTTCTCCACTCCATCTACATACCTACCACAAGCATTTACTGTGTCTATATCTAAATTACAACAAGCCGATTTATGTCATCGATGCTTGGGGCACCCTCATCCACAAATCATTGCCACAATCCCCAACCGCCGTCCTATGTCTATTTCATCCATACCAATATCATGTATCACATGTAATCTTACTAAAAGTCACGAACAACCCTTTATTCGATGTATAGGAGAAAGTATAAGTTAGTAGAATTGATAGTGTGTTGTATGGGGTCCTTTCCAATTACCTCTTATCAAGGATATAAATATACATTGTTTTTGTTGATGATTTCTCTAAATTTTGTTGGGCATTTCTTATGTGCCATAAATCTAAAACAGCACAAATAACTCAAAATTTTATTAATCTACTCCAATAGCAATTTAATATTAAAATTAAAATTCTTCGATCCCATGACGGGAAATAATACAATAATCAGTCCTTGAACACATATCTAACTCAACTTGGCATTATTCACCAATTCACCTACCCATATACACCACAACAAAATGGCGTCCTTGAAAGGAAACACAAACATCTTATAGAAACCACACGAGCACTCCTCCATCAAGCTTAGCTACCAAATAAATTTTGGATTGATGCTTTATACACAATGGCTCATCTCATCAATAGAATGCCAACAATAACCACGCATCACATCCTACCATATGAATACCTTCATGAGTCCCGAAAATCATATAACTATCTCACGGTGTTCGGATGTGCTTGCTATCCACGAAGAAAACTACAAAAAATGTCATAAATTTTAACTAACATCACTCCTGTGTATATTTCTTGGTTGTTCTCTGCAACACAATAGTTACATATGTTCCCATCCTCCCACCGACAAAATCATTGTAACTCGACATGTGGTGTTTGTCGAACATCACTTCCCTTATTCCACAACTTCTACTCTAACTTCTCCACCACCAAAGTCATCACTTCCACCATTTCTTCTCCAACCTACAACATTCCTCACTCCAGCTCTATAGCCCGCCGCACCCTCTACCATTGTTGGTAATAAGGCTCCTTCTCCTAGCTCCCAAAGACACTCCATGCTCCCAGTCCTCCTTCCATTACACTTCACCTATCTAATGTTTTTCTTCACGGTACACTCAAACGAATTAGTATATATGTGACAGCCACCGGGCTTTCATGATCCCCAATTTCCTAATCATGCTCATCTTCTCAAGAAATTGCTAAACTGACACCGCGCCAATGGTTCACATTACTGTAGGCATTTTTCACCTCCCGGGTTTCGTAAAGCCACCACATTTTTAAGTGCCAAAATAGTTCCCCAGATACACCCAAACATACCCTTAGGCTGCCTTCTATTATAATAGAAGAGGGACATCGTAGGCCAATAGAAGAAGGCTAGGTGTTGACTTTTGTGAAAGGTTGATTTGTGTAATAAATTTACCAGATTTGCAAATCCTTTAATATCGAAATCATTTTATCTTTTTCGTTAACGTTCAATTCCAAATGGAGAATTTTACGCTGCGAATATTTTTAATTCTATGGCATTTATTACCTGAATTTCTCAAATTTGTTTCTATCGAAACAGGTATTTACATAAATACCATATAATTATTATGTATTTACAAATCTAGTGCATAACCAACGATACATATTATCACTCAAATTCGTAACATCACATCAAAAATATCACTATAATTATCTTTTGAAAGTGAAATGTACATCATTCATGCACATATATATGACACCAATACTCTATAACTGTAAGTATCAAACTTTAGGTGTTAAATATGTAAATACATAAGAATTGTGTAGTATATTATATATGTGAATTTTTCTAATTTTAATTTGCTGCTTATAGTGAAAATAAATAAATAAATGCTTGCAACACACTTAAAAATGCTTTCTTTCTGTGAAAGCACGGAGATAAGATATGTTCCAAGTTGAAAATATAAAATATGTATCTTTGATACATGCACATTGTATGATCAAAATATGTTGAACCGAATTGATATCACTTTCACCGGTCAGAATTGATTCTGTGACACGTGTTTCGTCCAAAAGTATTTGATTCGGTTCAACGTACTTCGATTATATATTATATTTATTTTTATATATGTATATAATGTGTCAAATATATGCATTTTATTCTAATTACAATAGCTGTGTTTGAGAAAGGCTTTTTTAATTATTATCATTTTAATTTTAAGAGTAAAACATATGGATCAATAGATCCTAGAGCTCTTAGAGGCCCGTGAAGCGAACAATGCATACCCGTCAAAGTGATCGAATTAAACCTACCTACTGAAGTGTTCAAACTATGTTCAGGTGCCAAAGTGGTCTAACTTGCCAGAGGCAAACCAATCACCCAAGAAAATAATCATTACATAAAGAGTATGTGTATCCGTCCTTATTTATGGCCCCGCCTGATAATTATGTCGCGATCTTTCCACCAAGACATCATGGATGTCATAATACCCTCTTTAGCATAGTTACTCTTAAGAGGGGGAGGAAGTTCTAAAAAGAGTAACACCTTCACCTTCTATATTTTCATCCTAAGAACATGATTTATAGGATTTAATATTTGATATTTCCCATCTATAAATATCTGTATAATAATAATTACTATTATTATTATATGGTAAGGAGTTATTAAAATCACGCTGTTACTTGTCGGTGCGGCCCATGCCCTGTGACCAATCCGACTGCCTTAAAGGGGCTCTTAACAATTTAAGCCAATAGCGAGCAATTGAGGCCCTGAGGTAACAGTTCACCGAAAGGGACGGCTACGATGAGCTAATCTCGTCAACGTGTGAAACTGTCCCAATCTCGAAGCATAATCTCGGTGATCCCAATCGTGAACTCATCATCATTAGCATTTGGGCCAATCAAATGAAGCCATTTTCAATTAAGAAAATTAGAATAAACGTTAATTTCAATCAACTTCGGAGCCGTTAATATCCGACATCTCGGCATGAAAAGGGCAAAACGCGTGATCAGTAAAATAAATTAAGAAAACAGGGTGAGGTAATTAACTATAATTAACGGATTAAAAGAGACCTTAATTATTTTTTTAATTATTTGTTATCTTTGGTAAGCGAGGAGATTACAGCTCATCACGCTTCTTTCTTTTTTTATAAGAACATTTACATACATACCACCTGAAAGATTTGCTATTTACAAATTTAACACCCTCTTTTATCCATTTTTGTAACTCAAACTCTTATTTTTCTTGTTAATTAAATTCTCAATAACATGTATATTTGACAGGTTTAATAGCTCCCCATTCAATCACAGGTTCGAATCATTCATATTGCCCATGGTGAATTTGTAAGAAAATTATGACATGAGCAAATCCGCATGTACTTATATAGCATGGATGAGCCAAAGAAAATAACAACAATAACAATAATAACAGCTCCCTTGAAATCCATGCCATTAAACGTAGATACGTTACATATTTGCTCCACAAAGTGCGTAATCAACTTAATCATTCACCTAATAGAAGAAGAAGATTGAGAAAGATGGAGTAATTAAGCAAATGAAAAGTTTTTAATAACACCTGAGAGCAATTGATTCAAGCTTATTTGAACCCAAAACCATGTAATTGTAATCATATCGAATTCATCTCAATGAATCACACTAAGCCCTGACTTTACTAACTAGAAGATTCAAAACATCAGCATAATCAATTCCTAAAATTTTGAGCCAAAATCATTGCCTAAGCATTGATATCTTGCCCCGACAATCAAAGAAGAACAAAAAAAAAAGAAGAAAAAACAGAGTAAATCCTAACCGCTGTACTTCATCTTCAACAATTGCCCAGAAGAAATCAAATTGTGAAGAAAATATAATAATTAAAAATGAAGAGTTTCCACCAACAGACATGAATTGAAATAAATCTAGTATAGAAGAGGATAATAATTAAGAACACAGTTGATCATCTACTCGCAAATCTCATCATGCTCTATACAATAATTTTCTTTCTGCGTCTAAGAAGCTCTGAATCGATTCCAATATGCCTCTCTGTCTTCTCTCTCGCCAATTTATTCACAGCGCAAATACCCATAATTTGCAATAAATTTTCGGAGAGTTAATTTCCTTCTTCATCTTCTCCATTTTCCAATCCATCTCTCTGCTTCATCACACAGGTTCTGGATTGAATGATCTACTTGACTCTGCTGTTCAATGAGCAAAAATCTTACTATGGAGTGAAGAGGGAAAAGACGACAGTGATTCTCAAAGAATCAGTAATATGGGATACTAGGAGGTGGAGGTGATGCGTAAGATACTCCGATTATTGGCGGCAATGGCCCTTCATACACTGGTGGTGGTGGGGGAGTAGTTTCGCAAATAAGTGGAGGTGGAGGTGGAGGTGGTGGAGGAGGAGATGGCGATGGTGGTGGTGGTGAATTATACTGAATTGGGGGTGGTGGAGATGGAGAAGGCGGCGGTGGTGAATTGTAGTGGATTGGGGGTGGTGGTGATGGAGAAGGCGGTGGTGGAGAATGGTAATGATATGGTGGCGGTGGTAACGGCGGTGACGGCGAGGGTGGCGGTGGTGATTGATAGTGATACACTGGCGGAGGAGGTGATGGAGAAGGCGGTGGTGGAGATTTATAATAATAAGGTGGAGGCAATGATGGAGAAGGTGGTGGTGGTGAGTGATAATGATAAGGCGATGGAGGTGGGTGAGAAGGTGTTGGTGGTGGTGGTGATGATGTTGGAGGAGGTGGAGAGAGTGATGGTGGTGGCCCATAAGGCTTGGGAGGTGGAGGCTCTATGCAGGGAAGCGGAGAAGGAGGAGGTGGTGGTTCAATGCAAGGAGGTGGTGGTGGTTCAATGCAAGGAGGCGGTGGAGGAGGTGAACCATGTGGGGGAGGTGGTGAATGGTAGTAATGAATTGGTGGAGGAGGTGAATATGGTGGGGGAGGTGATGAAGGATGGTAATGGATTGGTGGAGGCGGAGAATTGGGCGGTGGAGGTGGCGATGGGTAAATTGGCGGAGGAGAATGATGTGGAATTGGCGGTGGCGGAGGAGAATGGGACGGTGGGGGTGGTGAATGGATGCAATAGGGTGGAGTGGGTTGTGGTGGCAGTGGCGAAGGGGAAGCCGGAGGTGGAGATGGCGGCACAGGTGAGGGTGAAGGAGGATGTGGAGATTGTGGCGGCGGATATAGCGGAGAGGGTGGAGGCGGCGGTGATGGAGAAGGGGGAGGGGGGGATGGTGGCGGAGGTGAAGGCAGTGAGGGTGAAGGAGGAGGGGGGG